CAGGCAGATCTATGGAAATACTGCTGAGGGGAGCAGCAGGTGAGACAGGAGAGGTCTGCTGCTCCATGTGTGTTAGCTCCTTGGCTGGGGATCAAACTCATGCTGCAGTGGCTGATGACAGCTTGATAGTGCTGAGACTATAACCCTTGTGCCACCAGGGAGGCCCTCATTTTTATTTTTATTTGCCAAGTTCTATCACTTGAGTTCTGAGTTTTTCTAATTCTTACTTATGTTGTTCTTTTTATCTTGTTATTTTCTAGATGATTGTTAACCCATGTTGAAATATTAGTCTTCATCTGTTTTTCACATGTGTCTTGCTACTACACTTCCTGGTCATGCCTTTCTGCCTTCTGCTTTCTTTCCTCTCATTATAGTACAATGTGGGATGTGAATTTGACCCCTTTCTAGGTTTATTTTTCTGTGAAATCAGGTTTTGTGAACTTTTAGAATGGGGTGTGTTTGAGGATTTTTCCCCCTAATTCATTATAGTACTTTCAATTCTCTCTGCCCCCCTCCCTGCTATGTTCAAAAATATTGTACTTAGTTTTGTGGAATGTACTGGTTACCTTTTTCTTTCCCACTTTGTTTATTAGCCCCTCCTTTTCGTCAACTTTACATGTTTTGTTTAATTTGGAAAAATTTCCCATCAATTTCTCTTCAGTGCAGGTAATTGTCGTGGAGATACCTCTGGCTTGTTCGTGTTGAGAGCTCATTGGACACAATTATTTCTACCCCCAGAGCCTCTATGTGAACCTCTTATATTCACCTTTGGAGTCGGCAGATTCTCCTACTCTCAGGTTTAATTTTCCATGTTAATATTGGGGTGCGTCAGACAAACTGCGTTCACCTTCTGCTTACCCCTTCCACCCAAAACTTCAGTCACTGGCACCCACCTGTTTATTATTTGAGATCTGTGGAAATAACATGTCAGTTAAATGTACAGAGTATATTACTTTCCTGTTTTTTTAACTTTGATCTCCTTGTTCTGTAATGTGCAAAGAACTTTTCCCACCTTGTAGCCATCTCCTCAGCACTCCTGAGAACTTATTTAAATGAAAGGAATGTGTAAAAGTTCTTCACTACAGTGGCCTCCCCAGTGGCACAGTGTTTTGAGCACAGCACTGGGAAGCTGTCCACAGCCTCTGCAGAGAGGGTTCAATTCCCAGCCAGCCAGCGAGATTCCCACGTGGCGAGGCAGACCTCCCCTGTCTCGCCTGCTGCTCCCCTCAGCAGTGCTTTAGGTCCATCTGCCTGTTCTGCTCCCCACTTGTCTCTGGTGAATCCTCTCACCCTCCCACGCCTCTGGCCTGTATCCCAGCTCTCGTATAAATACAAAATAAATAAATAAAAATATTTTTTAAAAAATTCATTGTAGATCTTTCTTATCCTTTAGAGGTTTTTCTCATCCCTTGTCAACCTTTGAGACTCAGGAGTTGATTTCATTAATATTTCCCCTAAAAGTATGGCAATGGCATGTTGTGAATGCTTTTATACTTTTTCAAATAAGAAAACTTGAGTTTATAAAATACACATCCACTTTTGCCTTCTGAGAGAAATAAAGAAAAATAGCAAAGATACTGAGAGCCGGACTTATCAGTTAAATGAGGGAGACTGTCTCAGAAATGTCAAATAAACCTTGCAACAGAATAAAAATTCTGGGTTTCTGTGTCTGATGGGAGCAGACAAGGCCAAGTCTTAAGAGGCATGATCGCTCCGGACAAGAAATGTGCAGACTGACTTAAATTCACAAGTACCTGGATTGATGTCTGGTTATATTGTTATATTAACAATATATGATTGTTAATAGTGAGAAAAATGCCAAAATGACGGATTGTAATTTGATCTGCTATAAAGTAATCTTGTTTAAATTACCTGTTATTTTTTATATGGATAAATTAAACTTCATCTATTGGCATTTCATTAATGAGAGATTCTGTTATTCTGGGAAATATCTAGATTTTATAGAAAATTTGTATGAGAAAACATATACTCTTATTAGCTGCTATCAACAATGTAATCATGGTCCAGGTTTGACCATTTGCCTGCTAGTGGGAACTGACAAAACCCCAGACTCATTGCCCAGGAAGAACCAAATTATTTTACACAACAAATATTTATTACAGACATACTGTAAGTCAGACACAAAACAAGCCCCTCATGTACAAGAAAATTAAGACATGGACTGTCTGCACATAGCCCACAGGAAGGAATGGACACCAAACGTGTACGAGTGCAGTGAAAACGTTTGCTAGATGAAATGATTGTGTTTATATAGGTATAGAGAAGTCCATAAAGGCTGTCAAAAGGATAGCTGAGTTCATTTTAATCCATGAATACAAATACTGAGCAGAGGCCCTAAGGTGAATACTCTGTCATTAGAGCAAAAGGTGGGAAATCATAATGCCATAAGGAAGGGTTGAACTTTCAGGTAAGTGCTAGTTTCAAAGATAGTAAGTAAGATATCTAGGCACATAAAGAGGTTTATGCACTAGAGACTAACTCTTATTGGTTATCTCCATCCCTAACAAATAAACTTCAGCTGTATAACCCTGATGTTTAGAAAGAAATTGGTCCAAAGTTGACTTTGGATATGTTATCCACACATCACTTTCTTACTTCTTTATTTGGGAAATTGACAATGTCTTTATAGAAATATTCTAGAGGACAGGAGATCCAGATTTGTATTTGAGGAGTCTTGATCCAATAAAGAAATCATCCAGATGTAAACCTCCTTCACTATTGTTTCTTAGCCCCATGCCTATCTCCCTTGTGACCAATTCATTATTTCATGAACTTCCTATAAAGAGCTGGTAGAGAAAAAAAGGAGAAACACTAGTCACCTATCACTTGTTAGCAGTATCAGGGCACTGAGATAAGGTGGAACTAGCAAATACTGTCTTTGATAAAGAATTAGTGAAAGAGTTAGTTGTGTGTTGCTTTACAATATGTAAATATGTAGATAGTGATTAGCAAAATCTACCTAGTTATAAACAATGGGTTACACTGAAGATACTTTAAAACCCATATTCACCCAACTGAGAGATGGACAGACTATTCCTCTGAGGGAGGACATTCTTTAATTTCACCCAATTATACTACTCCTATACCCCTTTCTTACCCAGGTTTATATGCAGAACTAAGGTGTAGAGTGTATCAGTGATATGTTTGAGGCTACAAATTGTGTTATGTGTGTATATCTGTGATTTTCTTTTTTTGCTTCACTTGATGGCTTAGACTAGATAGGTATGTAAATTCTTGCACATGCTTACTTGGTTAAGACATTAATACATATTAGGAATCTCTTCCAAGATACCTTCATTTTCTTTCGTTGGCAAATCACTTAAGTTATTATTTCTACTCATGAGAACAAATAGTCAAATTAATTGGTGAACTAGTAATAAGTTATTACAGGTAGGCATTTAGCATGAGATTCATTTGCAGATAATTAAGAACAATTACCTGGTTTCAGTGACCCTTCTTGATTAGTGACAGTTGGATACAATTAAAATATGAAATCATTTTATCAGTATTAACAGATTACCCAACTATTAAGTCACCCAGATAGTATATGTGTTTTAATGGCTCCAGATGTGTAAAATTAGAAGAAAAAAATTGTTGCATTCTCCGGCATATTTTAGTGTAGTCCAACATTATCATTTTGATTAGTGGCCAAGTTTCAGATTATAGTTTTTGTTTTCTTTTTTCCTTAATTTTTTTTTTTTTACATCATTGTTCATTTTTAATCAATATTTGCTTCTCCCCACCCCCTCAGGTGTAGTCCCCATAGAGTTTCCTTCTCCAAGGCACCCGTGCACCATCACCTCAGTCCCCTGTGCTCCTCCCTCCCTCCCTCTGATCCCTCTCCCTCCTCCTCCCCTGCAGGATGTCTCTGATTTGCAATTGTCTGTTTTTGCTTTGTTGTGTTTTGTACTGTTATTATTTTTTTACACTGATGTCTTATTGGGTTCCCCTATATTCCTGCTATAAGTGAAACCATCCGATATTTTTCTTATCCTTCTGGCTTCTTTCACTGAGCATAATTCCTTCTAGCTCCATCCACGTTGCTGCGAATGGCATGAGTTTATCTTTTTTGATTGCTGAATAATAATATTCCATTGTGTATATATACCACATCTTGATCCAGTCATCTATTTTTGGGCATTTGGGTTGTTTTCAGGTTTTACCTATTATAAATAGTGCTGCAGTAAATTCAGGGGTACAGGTGTTCTTTTGAGTCAATGTTTTTGTGTCCTTTGGGTAGATCCCTAGGAGTGGAATTGCTGGGTCATATGGTCACTCCATTTTTAGTAGGCTGAGGAACCTCCATACAGCTTTCCATGGTGGTTAGACCAGTTTGCATTCCCATCAGCAATGTAGGAGAGTTCCTTTTTCACCACATGCTTGCCAACATTTGTTGTTGCTAGTTTTTTTGATATGTACCGTTCTTACTCAGACCATGAATGTTTTGAATGCAAGGAGTGTTTCTGATTTATTTTTGATTTCCCCAGTCCCATATGTCTTGGTGTATAAAAAGCAATCAATATATTTTGAATGAAAATAATTTCTTCATTAAAATGTGCTGTATGGTTGTGTCCATTGGGCTAGACCATCTGAGGGCACAGAGACAGCATCTTCATTTTTTTTCATTCATTGAAACATTCAGAATTTATTGATCTCTGGCTACAGTGGTAGACTATTTGAGAATGCAGAATGAGTTTAGTTGATGAAAATAGTTTCCATGTGTCTAATTATACATGGGAGATAGAAATCTAGCCTTCATCTTAACATGCAAAAAGAAAGTACTGTCAAGTGGGGAAAAAAATCTAAAACTATACACAGTGAATCACAGAATGGTTTTATTTCCTAAATATTATGTTTAACACTGTCAATTGTCTTTTTTTCAGTGATGTTATACACATGCCTAAATGTATGCTGATAACATATATAATTTATCAACTGTCACTCCCTTTCTAACTCTGCCTGCTCCTTGGTTTTCACAGTCGTGTGATCCCCACTCAATGCAGAGAAGAACACGCCATCTGCTGAGGCCCTCGCTGAGCTCAAGAATGTGTGCTGAAGACTCACAGGTGCGGCCTTGCCTCCTCAATGAAAATTGCTTCCAGTTCCAGTACAACCTAACAGGTAGAGTTCAAGCTGTGGCCATGCCATTTTCCCTGAACTTTGAGTAATGGGAGAATGTTTGTGTTTTCACCTTGTGATTAAGGACTGAAAGTAGATTGTGCAGGTGTATTACCTGAAAGACTGAGGGATTGACATTTTCAGTGTCCCTTCACAAGAAGAAATGCCTGCTCTTGGCGTGTATTCAGCAGGGCCACCTGGAATCTGTGAATGAAAAGATGCTTAGGAAGTCTTGGCAAAGTTTCAGAGTAAAGTTGAATTAAGCTATGATAAACTGAAACAACAAAAATAAGTAGCAGCAGGGAATCATTTACTACTTAGGGAATAATGTAATCATGCTTTCATAGAGATTAGCTCTTTTATGGCCTTTCGAATTTTAAAAAAAAAAATAAACTTGTGATGTACTTGCTCTATGGGTCTCATTAAGGATGAATAGAAGGGAGACCTGACTGAGCAGGGAGGTTTTAAAGGCTCTAGGAATCACATCAACTTCATTATTCAGCCACTCTTCAGGTTTTTCCTGGAGACCAAGTGCTGAGTGTCTAATACCAAAGGACCATTGCATTACATAGATCTGCCACCTGCCATTCTCTGCAGCAGCAGATGTAAAAAATGCCACAAAACATGGACCCATGTTAAGTCTCAGCACTGAATTCAGTACTGACAGCCAAATTGCTGCATGCCTGCAGAGGCCAAGCAATAGCCTTTTCGAAAAACACAATTCCCCACTGAGGCCCTGGTGGCACTGCCGAGATTTCTCATGTACAAAACCTGGTGTTCATTTTTTGTGGGGCTGTCTGATTGTCTTTCTAGATCAAAGATGACCTTGTACTTTAATTACTAATACCAGGACAATACTAATATCATGTTGAAATACTAATGTTATTGCCATTTTTTCTTTTAGTAAAGGTGACTCAGCTACTTTGTTTTTATAGAAATAATTCAGAAACAATAAAATTCACTTTGCTAGAAGAGCATGTCTTTAAAATACTGAATTACTCTATATGGGTTTGCTATTCTTATTAAACTCTTAGATCATCTACCAAATGTCAATAGTTTCCTTAAGAGGTTCTCGTTGTATAGATCAAGTATTTTTCTTTGTGTGAACAGCAACGGTAAGAGTTTCCTAAGAATCAGATTAATTGCGGGATAGTTTATTCTAACTCCCAGTTGTCTACTTAGTTAGTAATACAACTAGCCAAATACTTAAAAACCTTCTCTCAAGAGACAATAATTTGAAAAAAATTAGAATTCCTGTAACAGTCATATAGTTCTGTATACCCCACCCTCTTTCCTTTCTTGGGTACCTCCCTTGGCCCCACTGTACCAAATGTACCAAATGGTTTAGATGATTGGATCTATTTTTGAAAACATTTTCCAACTTCACATCAAACACTATCATTATTTCTGTGCTACTTTCTGTCACAATTATCCTCAGCAAATAAATGATTTAAAACTGGCTTTCCTTTGTCATCCCGATGAGCATCCTTCCTTCCCTTCTCCAGTGAACTGAGATGATGTCTTACAAAGCATTTGGCTTTCCACCTCCAAACAGCAAACGTAGTCAATTGGACCTGGGGTGCAGGAGCCAGACACCAAGGGTCTCTGGGTGCTTGTCTCTGTGAGGAAAGAATTCAATGTCGGGACCAGAGTAAGGCAGAAAAGCAAGTGATTTATTGTCAGATAAGAAGAACAGGAAAGTTCTCTGAGTAGAGAGGGGTCCAGAGTGGGTAACCACTTCGGAGGCATGATGCAGGAGTTCATAAGAGTATGGAGCGCATGGAGTGGGGTTTGTACTTTGGGTGTCTCACGTTGTCTCTCTTGTTGATTGGTTGAGGCCCGCTGGGTCTCCCGGTCACCTGGTCCGTTTCCCTGGAATGAACTTTGATCTGTTGCTTTGGTGTGTGTGATTGTTTTCTGAACCCTCAGATTCTCACTGGTTTGGGGCACCTGATCACTCCAGACTGCCCCTCATTCAGTTTGATAAATGGGCCTGGGGCATCCTGATCCTCACCTCTTGTACTCAGCCCAACTTCCCCATTCAATTAGGAAGCTGACACACTTTTGTTTACTTGCCTCATTGATTGTTTTTGCAATAAAAGGTTGCACAGTGCTTTTTGAAGCCCCCTAGCAATGGCTTTAGGATTATGTGCACACTCACCTTCTTCACCATAGGAAAAGGATCAATGTTTCATAGTATTTTATTCACATGACCATAATTTGGAAACTCAGTGTGTGGTGATCTTCTTCCTGTAGAGTGGAGCATGTGCCAGCTCAGTGAAAACGCCACCTGTGGGCAAGGTGTCAGGACTCGCCTTCTGAGTTGTGTGCGCAGTGATGGCCAGTCAGTCAGCATGGACCAGTGCGAGCAGGTAATATTTCCTTCTGAATCTCATGTGCAAAGCTTTGTCTTAATACTGGTCTGCAATCTCTGATCCTTGATGTAAACGACAAACTGATTTCTTCTTCATCACAGCTTGGGTTAAGAAAGGGGTTAATGTAACCTTACCAGTTGAACATTGTCAAAATGATGAGCAAAAGAACTGGAAAAGTAAGTTCATTAAAAAACATTATTTTAATTACTTTTAAGAACTCATTTAGATGTACTTGTTTTTCAACCGACTGTTAATATCAAGTGGCTTTAATGTTTACATATAGCTCTATGTACTGGGCAAGTGTTCCAATACATATACATAAGGTGACCACATAGGGTATATAGGGTATGTATAGGGTGACCACTGTCCCATGAATATAAGATGGACACTGACACTTGTTATTAGAAAACTATCACTTTGCTAAGCAAGTGGTTGCTGGATAAATAGCACAGCTGCATTTTTCTTCTCCATCTAAGTTAAAATGCCTCCCTACCAAGTTTCAAATGAATAGGTTCTGCATATTTGTCATTTATTGGCCCTTTTTTTCCCTGTGACAAACCATGTGGAGTTGGGACAAAAGCTGTAGTCAAACCGGTTCCAAAGAAGTTAGTGTTTACTTCCCAGTGTGCAAGTGAAAAAGTATGATGGAGACAGTTTAATAAAAGATGACGATGTGCTATCACACTATAAGAATCACTTCCCAATCAATAGCATAAATTTGAAAATAAGGGCCCAGTTAACTCAGGTTTCCATAGAAACTCCTTAACAAGCTGGTTAAATGAAAATTGGTCCCATTTCTCCTAACGTAGGTGGATTCTGAACATAGAAATCAAAACCAAATAAAAATGGTCCATGTTTCCCGACTTCACATTGCTCTGGACTTCCGCAGCACAGTGGTGTCATACACCAGCACCTGCCCTGCGACCAGACCATCTACATTCAATGTACCATTTGGTGAAATTCCAAAACTGGAATAGAGGGCGGAGCTCTGTCTACCAAGTGTCAGTGATTTATGTTAACATTTTCTTTCACTTGCTCTGCCTTTTAAGAAGTTGTCTGCTTCAGGAAAAATAAATCACCACTCTATAACAACATCAAATAAGTGAAAATATTATATTTAGTATATGTAATAAATCTTTTCTTTTGATACAAAGAAAGGTGTAAACTCTTTACAAATGGACATATGATATTTGGAAAGCATATGTTTCTAACAAATATTTAGAGGATATTAGTTATAAAAAGAATCCCAAATTATTAACCTCACTTGAATATCCACATATCTTGAATAAATCATAGATCCTAGGTAGTATTTCTGTTTTGCCCACTTAACAAGTAATTGTGCTAAAATCATTAATTTAGCTTGATGTGAACCCTGCTAACATTTAACATATGTTGAATGTCAAAGTTTTCCTAAATAAGCAGTCGGTGTATGATTGCTGTAGAGAATGTTTCATTGTTCTCTGTTTCTTGGAGTATTTGTTCTTTCACTAAAACCTCCTCTACATTGACCATTATAAAATTTGTAGATTTTGCCTGGGGCTGGTTTCAGTGTAGGCACGTGAAAAATAAAGTGTATCACCAACTTTTCCCATATTATGTTGTCAGCCTAAATGATCTATTTTATATACTTTAGTGGAATTATTAATTTGCATTTGATATGATTTAGTTTAGCTAGCTGTTTGTTTTGAGCTCTTTATGTATTGTTGACCATCCAGAAGTGCAAGGTACCTGAATTAGCACTGATTGTCTTCCAAGTGTCTTGCTGCCAGAGCTACAGGACAGATCTCTGTTTCACATCACCACCTGCTTTCTCAGTGCCCTGGTTGCAGGTCTATTCTAGTACTGAGGGTTTTATAAAAAGAAACCTGTACTGGCAAATTTCTATTTTGTGAAGGGCAACCATTTTTCTCTGATTGCAACCAATTTTTATAAGAAAGGATATTTTCCCCTGCAAAAATATAGACGGATGATTATCATAGAAGAAAGGGCAGTCTTTCCTATAAAAAGATAGTGATTTGATTTTATAATGATTTCTCATGTAAAATCCTATTTTCATCTGCAGAATAACTTGGAGAAGCCCCAGAAAATGAGCATCCATTGCCTGGTGGAATGTGTGGTTAACTGTCAGCTCTCGGGGTGGACAGCCTGGACAGAGTGTTCACAGACGTGTGGCCAAGGAGGTATTTTGGATCTCTGTTTGTTCATTCCAGTTTGGTTTTGAAATGTCTCTCTTTTGCAATATCTCAGTGTCCCATAGCTTGACAAATTCACATCAGGCATGTTGGCCAGGTAGAGATAGTTTGAGGTTGTCCCCAAGGAGGAAAGCCATACAACGTGGCCTCATTTTAGTCTTTTGTGGCTAAACGGAGGTCACAAAACAGACTTGGCATCTGAGGCAGACTGCAGAGGGTAGCCAATACTGTGGGATAATGTTTATTCCAACAATCATACAGTCAACCAATTCAAAAAATGTTGGCCTCCATGGTTTCTGGAAGAAGGGTGCATTATGTAAGTGAAGCTAGTTCCTCTGGCAGGCAGATTCCCAAGTCACAGTGGCTTAACATCAAAACTAGAGATTAAGTTTTCATTCACATAAAAGGGGGGTTATTTTCTACTGTATCAAAATGTCATTCAAGGATACAGGTTGATGGAGGTCTTACCACTTTAACATAACCAGGTTTCTCTGGATGGTGATTGCCTGCTAGCTCCAGGTGGTTCATATGGGCCAGGCTGACAGATGTACATAGCTCCACCAGGTATATTCTATTAGACAGAATTTAGTCCCAGGTCCCCTGCTCAGCGCAGCATGGTAGGGTGGTAAATGTTTCCAGATGGTTAGTTACTTCTCAGCAACAGTGTTATACTGTGGAGGGAGGGAATGTGAATCTGTGGTGAATAGCACTTACCTCCACTACATCCCTGACCTTGGTAGATGGGTAATGCAAGGAATGTAACAGGCAGTGGGTACTCACAGCTTACACAGATAGAAACACAGATGGCACTGCAGTCCAGGCAAGCAGAGACTAAGCCATGTATCCATGGAAGAGAAAGTCATCAATGTGACAGGAAACCACAGAGCTGTAGTTTAGGATAGGACACAGGTCTGAAAGAGTTATACAAGGTAAAAGACAGTAATTTAGAGTAGTGAGATGGAAAAAAAAATCCTATTACATGGTTAGTAGGTGAAGAACCATGAGGGAGAATTGCAAGTTGGTGAAATCATGGAATCAGGATACCAAGCCTGGGTCTGACTGCCAAAGATATTTGAAAGTAGTTTTCTAGAAGTTGTCCTATGACTGCACAAGTGGTGCTAGGATATGGGTTCATTTTTAACCTACTCACAAGTAAGTGTGCTGGGGTTGCTGATAATTCTCTGCCTTTCTAGTTGGGAATGTGTGAGGAATTGAGGGAGGATTCAGTATGTAAAAGGGACTCATTTGTGCACTCAGACCTAAGATCCTGGAGGGGACAGAGCTGAAGACAGTACCCAGAATATGTATTAGGAAACTGTGGCTAAGGCAATTGAAAGCTCCTTCTGCCAAGAATACCCATGAAGCTAAAATAATAGGAATCACAATGTCTAATGATAACATGCCATTCCTGCACAACTGAGAGCCTGCCAAGCCTCAGAAACCAAAGAGTAAGCTTCAGACCAAGATCAGTGATTGCAATTGAGGAACTATTGTTCCTCAAATATTCTGACTGACAGCATGGTATTCTTTCCAGTTGCACATCCCTGGTATGGTCCAGGTAAGTCTAGGTTCAAAGTAAAGCTGTTTAGACAAATTACTGAGTCTTTCTAAGTCTCAGCATCTTGATCTATAACATGTAATTCATGCACATATTAGGGACCTTATTTTTTTATTTGAGAATTAAATAATATGTATACAAAGTATATGAAGTATATGAAATGAAGTGTATGAGTATATGAGGGCACCTAGCACAATAACTGATATATCATGGGTGGTTAGTATATGTGAATTTCCATCTCCATTTCTATCATACTACCCACAAGTAATAGAGAGTTGTCAGAGATTCCTTAGATATGTATTAATTTTGAACATTTATTTATTTATAGAAAAACTGGAGTGTGGGCTAGAAGTGTGGCCAGTGAGAGGATTCATCAGAGGCAGAGTGGGGAGCAGAACAGGTGGATTTACTGAAATAAGCTGCTGAGGGGAGCAGTGGGTGAGACAGGAGAGGTCTGCTATGCCATATGTGGGTAACTCCCTGGCTGGGGATCGAACTCAGGCCACAGTGGTGAGAGCCTGAGACTTAACCCCTAGGCCACCAGGGAGGCTCAATTCCCTAGCTATTTAAAAGTTTATTTCCTAAGTTTAGTCATTCTCATCTCCCACTCTATCTCTTCCTTCGATCTCACTCAGAATCCATTCACTATAGTCATAGCCCAAGTGTAAATCCAAACAAGTGTTTTCCTATTTACTGGAACCTTTCATTATTTCTTTTATCCGTTACACAGATATATGTGCCATTTATAGTTCTAGGTATCGGGAATGCAGCAGTGGGTGAGGGGAGGAGGGAAGGAAGATGCTTTCCCTGTTATCACAGAAGTTACAATCTCGTTGAGGGACAACACATAGTAAACAAACAGGTAACATTGTGTGACATGAGTTCACTAAGGAGCCATACTAATGACAGGCGTTATTCACCACGTTCGCCGTGTCTTTCGTCCAAACCGCTAGTTGCTCCTCTGTCCGGTGATGACCCGCGCTAGATATCCCACAGCCATAAGCACTTCAGTCAGGGGTCTCTCCTGTGATGTGTGACTCTCATGTTGGTAACGGGCAGCACGTAACAGTATGTTGTGAGCATGGCCCATGCAGACCTGCTAGATCGCTCCCTCCTCCATCACCCTGCATGGCCCCCTGGGCTCTCTCTGCTTGAACATGGCATATGTCAATGAGATCCTTGAGCCTTTGCTTCTTCCCACTTCGGCACCTTTTCTCACATGGAATATCTTATCATCACCCCCAACTACTGCCTCCTACTTTTATCAGGCAGGAAATATTGGATCTGTTCTAATGTCTGTGCATCTAAGGAGCTGAAGACTTTGCTTTCTTCATGATGAATCCCTCCCATCCCCTGTTCCTATGAAGGGCAGAACCTGGCACAATGGAGGGATTTCAGGTACAGTCTGTCATAGTCTACATGGCACTGGGCCATAAAGGAAAGGTTGCAAGGGAAGGCCTTGCACATTAGATCACAACCCAAAGGCAGCCAGCCCCTGCCTGGCTCTTTTCCTCTTTTTCTAACAAAACACAAGACTGTTCTGTGTGAGGAGACAGGGGCTCTGTTTATTGTTATTTTTGTCTGAAAGTCCTGTTTATGCTCCTGAACCAGACCAGTGACGGATCTCCGTGTTATGCTAACATACAACATACAAATGTAAGACCACAAAATTTAAGTTTAGTGTTAAAATATTTAATATTTCAAGCAGTTCTGTTAGTGCTGTGAACACCTCAGACCCTTTTTGTCTCCTCAGAAAACTAAAACAATCATTCTTTACAAATCTGAATGCCATTATTAGAGGACTCCAGGCAGTTAGAGTTTGAACTTTAATTCACCCTTTCCAATCTGTAGTATAATAAACACTCACACAAAGGTTTCCTAAGGAAAGCCATTTGTGAACAAAAGCACAGGGGGACTAGGGAAGGAATGTTAACTACTTGTAGAAAGCAAGTTGTATAAAACACTTGGAAATCATCTGAATAGCATCCATTGGCATATAACTATGGCACTAGTTGTAAAATCACCTCTCACTAGTTTCCAAGGGTCTAGTCAATAAGTTCTTGACATTCCTTCATTGACCTATAGATGTCTTCATCTCCTGAAGTGTCAGGTGTAATAATGCCTTTAAAAATTATTCCATAATTTTAATATATAACAAACCCTCCAAATAATCTAAATATATATATGCAGTTTAGTGTTCATTCATTCAACAAAGCTTTATAAAGTTTTGCCTGTTATCCTGAGGTCTAATGGTATCCTCTTTCATTGTCAAAAGTGGCAGTGTGGAAAATAAATTATATGGTGACCCTACTATTCTGAGTTCTGTTCTTGAAGGCAGAACTGGAGAAGTTCATTATATATGTCACAAGTACTCGTTGGATGTTTTCTGAGTGCCAAGCATTCTCTCAGCAGCTGAGAACACAGTAGGTAGGGAACAGATCCCAAGCAAACATAGCCCCCTGGCTTCATAAAACTAATATTCTAAAGGGAAAATGGGTTGCAATGGCAAGACAGAGTGATAGCAAATAAATTAACACAAAAATAATAGATGCTGATACGTGCTATGATGTGATGCAGAATAGCAAGAATCTTGCAGGGGAGTGAGGGATGCAGAAAGGCCACAGGAGAGGTGAAATTTATGTTGAATGGAGTGGCAAGTTCCCATAGCTCTCGTAACTGTTGTCTTTGCTGGGCTGCTCAGTGTTCAATCTCACAAGCACTTGTTTTTTTTTTTTTTTAATTGAGGTAACAGTGGTTAATGGCGCTGTATATAAGTAGGAGGCACACCTCCTCAGATGTACGTCACAATCCATGCTTACCACCAGTCCTCAGTATTTGAATTTCAGGCTATATGTCAGCACCTATGGATAAGCTATAAATATGCATATTTCTCCAACTGTTTGTGCCCAAATATAACCTTAAAATATGAGCAATATGAAGAAGAACATGATACATGACCTTTCAACTTTAGGCACCTACCCTCAGGATGTAACTGAGACAGGTTTTGTGATCATGTTTCCACCCTGCCTACTGTCCCCCTCCAATTTTTCCTCTATTCCAACCTTCCAGCTCCAATCTTATAGCACAACTCTTCTCTCCTCAGCACCCTGCTAGCATGTTTCCCAAATGAGAGGATTCTGTATTTAAATCATGCCTTTGTCCTCATACAGAGCAACTTAAAACAATGAAGAATGAGAATCAAAGCAGAAATGCATGGCACATATGAACTAGTTTCTTAAAAGAGACCAAACTTAGGAACTGAAACTATTATTGAGAAACATCTGTGCCTTGTCTCTTTTAAGAGCACACGCTAGCAGCTGTCTTTTGTATGAGCAGCTTTCTTTTTTCCAACTGGCCGTGGCAATGGGGCGTAGACCACAAAAGGAGATAGTTTATTTAGTTGCATTAAAGTGGACAAGTGAGTTGCACG